ACGTCCATCGTCAAACGAGGTTTCTAGAGAGTCAGCAATAGACACAGCCTTGGTTGGGCCTCTGATTATTAAAATTCATGAACAACAATGATGACTTACCCTCTGATGGATCGTTTAATCGTCTGCCTACAGCGGCAATTAAAAAAAACAGGCCGCAATTCCATCATTCAGATTCTGATCCAGTGGTAGATTCTGCCTTTTTTTTTACCTATGCTGATGCCTTGAGAGGCTATTTCAGCTTCACCCTAACATGTAGGTGAGCTCACGGGGCTCAAACCGGAAGTGTTGCTAACACTGGCCCTAACAAGAGCCGTGCTTCGCAGAATCTACCACCGGATCGCAAACGCGACCCACTGAGAAGATCCGGCGAGAAATTCAGTGAGATGTGTCTATGGGTAAATTCTGCGAAGCGCTGCTCTTGCTAGGGCTAGTGTTAGAAAATTCTTTGGTTGAACGCGTGAGCTTACATACCCGTCCCGATCGAGCTAGAATAAAGCCTTTTAGCCTAACAAACTTAAGTTTATCAGTGAATACGCAGGGAAGAAAGCTTTTAACTAGTATGTAAGACGACAAATACAATCGCTTTGTTCTAGAAATAATCAGGGCGATATAACAGTTATGATTTAAAGGCACAGCTGTATCAACGAGAAACAGGCTCCGATATTGTTAAACAAACTCCCCTAAGCGAGTCATTCTCTCTCAAATAAAAACTTCTTTTTTTTTACGAGTCGAATTAAATAGGTCTCGGCATATGGTGGCATTGTTTAATATTCGGCTGCAAACGTAAATATGTATATGGCGGTAGGTCGTTGATCTTCGCTGTCTGGATCGTAATTTGTCTGAAATTATTTCATCAAGACGTTCGAAGTTCTGTTGTAACTGTTCGTTGTATTGTCTAACCCAGCGGCTCTCAAACTTATTTACTGAGCGACGCACAAACATGTTTTACACTGCTTTGTAGGCAAAAACAATACACGCAAAAACAATGTTAACAAAGCCATAATAAAATGTAATATATGGGTGTAATTAGAGATTAGTATAGGGTTTTGCATCAAAATTTATTATGTTTTAAATAAATTGCAATATATAAATACGAATATGAAAAATTGTGGGTTAAGCCACTTTTGCACTGATGGCCTCATATGTACTACCGCAAAATTGCAGTTCCTTCGTGACATCTTAAATAAAAATGTATTTTATTTTATCGCGATAGGACTGTTGGGAACCGCTGGTCTATCCTATAAACGACATCAGATATTCCATTGGCGGGCTTGCACCTATTCATTACGCTAGCCGAAAAGAGAGACGGTTCTCGAAGACACAACAATGTTTTCTGTCTATCTGTTAATATAAATCTGAGGATAAATAAATATTCAAAAACAAAATTGACAACACCTATGAATTTATTAAAAGTAAATCTCGTCATTAATTCATTTATTCACCGTTGGATTGTGTGTTCATCACTTTGCATGGAAGTTATTAAAGGCGAGCTTAATGAATCGAATCCGGTTATATATCACTTAACGATGTATGTACGCACGTTAGAAGGCAAATATTGGCTGTTGCACACATTCGTTCTTGTTCGTGACTAATGAGGAGTCTTGACTTTAGTAATCGACGTTTGTGATTGTAAAGAAAATGTTATAGTTGAAATCAGTTTTTTTGGAACGAAGTTCCGCATGAGACGATACGGAGGGGTACCCTAATCGGAAAAAAAACGTCCGTAACGTAAGACTTGTATTAGTAATGCACACAGTGTACTACTTAACTTCGTAATAATGTACAAAAAATAACATATTTTTATTATATATTTTTTATAAATCATTGTGAATAAAATAAAGTTGATAACTTTGTAAAGTAGTTTATTTTTTTTATCAATAAAAAAATATAAATAAAAAATGTACACCCGAATTTTTTTTTTCTTTATACCTCGAATAGAACTTAAAATTAATATTTTTATAATAAGGAACTTCGTTCCTATCCGGTGTCCCACGACACCACACATCTTTTTTTTTTATAAATCATATTGCATTTTATCTCGACCTTTTTTTTCCTTACAACATTTTGTGGTTGTATATAGATTTGATATGAGACACGTAGACGAACAGTCAAAATCAAAAAAATGCTCTTTTTATTCGAATAGGCTTGTGCAGGGCTCTTAAATTGCCACGGCTTCACCACTGATGAGGAATGCAGTTACATCATTGAGAAAAACAACACAAGAATATTTTGAAAGTGTTTATATACGTTATGTGCTCAGGGGTGTTCATAGTGGATCTGTTAGTATGATATTAACAGTGTCAGTAACGATAATAGAGCTGTTTATTTAACTGCTTGCATTACCCTAAAGAAAGGCCCACTGAGTTTCTCGCCGGAACTTCTCAGTGGGTCGCGTTTCCGATCCGGTAGTAGATTCTGCGAAGCACGGCTCTTGCTAGGGTTCGTGTTAGCAACGTCGTCAGGTTTGAGCCCCGTGAGCTCACCTACTATTTAAGGTTACGCTGAAATAGCCTCTCAAGGCTATCAGCATAGGTAGGATTAAAAAAAACAGAAATCGTATATCTCATTCCCTCGCAGGTTAAATCCTATTGCATGTATATGTTTGTCTCTTTTTAGTGTTGCTCTTCCGTTACACCATAACTGTGTTAAAGAGGCTTTTTATTGAAATGCACTGTTTCTAGCAGTATTGTTTTGTGGTGTCACATTTCAATTCGAAATTTTCGATCTCTTTTGTAACTCACTATTCACTGTTAGATGCAATTAGATGAGACGACATATCTTATAATGATATGAAATTCATTAAAATGAAACATTATCTCCTACGTAGTATGTATCTGGGACACTTTCAGCAAATTTGAACACGAGTCTCCCATTTTTCACATTGCAACGTATTCAGATATCTTTACCAATCAATTTAAGATATAGGCTTTATTCGAATCACTATACGAATTGGGGATGGACTTCATTAAGGAATAACTTGTTTACGCTTTCCGGTAGACAACGGGTAGCTAGGCTTCATGCACGGAATCGCCGTCTGATTTAATTCACAGCATTCGTAACCTCTCCATAGCTCTTCCATTCTTTTCCCTGCTTCTTTGAGTTGAGTTTCCTATGAGGATTTTTTTTTTATAGCTTGGATGGGTGGACGAGCTCACAGCCCATCTGATGTTAAGTGGTTACTGGAGCCCATGGACATCTACAATGTTGATGCGCCACTCACCTTGAGATATAAGTTCTAAGATCTCAGTATAGTTACAACGGCTGCCCCACCCTTCAAACCGAAACGCATCACTGCTTCACGGCAGAAATAAGCAGGGCAGTGGTACCTACCCGCGCGCACTCACAAGCGGTCCTACCACCAGTAAATTATATTTAATGCGTCAAACAATGGCTTTGCAGAAAAACAATAAAACCATCACAAAACCGTTACTAATATGCTAATCGAAATTCTTTGACAGTGATTCGTTCGTGAATTAACTACGTTTTGTTCCTGTACAGTACCTTACTGATTATCTAAATGGAATGCTTAATTACTTGCTAGAATTAACATTGAGCGATGATATTTATTCGTGACACGCGCGCGTTTGCTGTATTTTTAACCGACTCCAAAAAAGGAGGAGGTTCTCAATTCGACTGGTTTTTTTTTTATTTCTTTTATTGCCCTTGTTGGCCGACGAGCATACGGCCCACCTGGTGGTAAGTGGTTACCGTCGCCCATGGACTACAGCAATGCCAGGAGCAGAGCCAAGCCGCCTAATGCCAACCTAATGTTCGTTACCTCATAACTTTTGACTGGGTGAATCGATTTTGATGATTCTTTTTTATTGCAAAGATGATGCGTCCCGTGTGGTCCGATTTCAATTTAGTCCAGTTCTGATAATGGTAGCCAAGAGAAAACCGTAATAAGTCTTAAATTTGCATTAAGTACGTGCACGACAAATAGATGAATAACTCAATAACTTAATTTGTTTTTGAATATCTTTTTTTTTCTATTTGAAGTCTGTTTTTGTTAAAGCGTGTCTATTTACAATTATATTTTATTATTTTACGTTTAGACCACTGTGTGTAAAAGGTTCAATGAATTGTAACGACATTGAATGTACTTATTAACATAATTGCGTTATTGTTTTTAATTGTACGTTAAATTATGTACATTGTGAATTCTAATGTGCGACGGTAGTTATGACAAAAACAAAAACGTGTCAGTAAATATTGCATATACACACACGCATATTCCATTATAGTATAAAATAAAAATAGAATATTAGAATAGAATATAAAATATTAGATTAGCATCTCTGTTCATATAAAATAATTCATAAAAGGATTATATTTTTGTTTGTCGTGTCTATTTATTATAAGTCATGTATTTTTCTATAAGAACTTATTTATTCTCTACCTATTCGCTGGAATACCTGGTTCAACCTCAAAGAATTTGCTAACACTGGTCCTAGTAAGAGCCAGTGGTTCCCAGAGTTACTCAGTGGGCTGTGTCTATGAGATGAGAACTGTCATATGCTTTCACTCATGGTTTGGAACCAGATTAATATTACTTACGAATTGAACTAATGTGAAACTTATGCAAACGAAAGATATGTATAAAATAAGTTATAAATCAATCAAATTTCAAGGTGGACGGCGGCATTTACGTTGTAGATGTCTATGGGCTCTTATGGTAACCACCTAAACTCAGGTGGGGCGTAAACTCGTCCGCCCACCTTTTTTTTTTTTTTTTTTAACGCTGCGGAATCCATTTACGGATACCCGTTCCGGGGGGGTAACGAACCGGGTTATGTCGGACTCCGGCGCCTCCTGAGAGGAAGAGGGGGACGAGAAGGTCCTCCACCTCCCCGAATTCCTCGCAAGAGACTACGCCTTAAGCAATAAATAAAAATATCTAGGAGGACGGCAGACAGATCATCACGACAATTGCGTCAAGATAGATTCTCACATAAATTATTGAGTAACTCTTTCTTTATTTATTTATTTTTTGTTCACAGAAACTCCCGCAAGCGACTTCAGAAGACACAGAATCGTTCTGCCGACCGTACACCATCCGAGGACGAAACGAGAACTCACAACGACAAGGGACACGGTTAGTTTTGATTTTATTATAATACTAGCCGACCCAGCAGACTTCGTAGTGCCTCAATCGATAAATAGAAGACCGAAATGTTTGTATAAAATAAACTTAAAAAAAACAAAACGAATCCGTCCGACGGGGGACACATCAAAGGAGAAACAAAATTTTTAGTTTTTTTTTTATAAAATTCCGAGCATTTTTATATTTATTCAGCTTTCAAACCTTCTCTGGACTAACACAAATAATTCAAGACCAAAATTAGCCAAATCGGTCCAGTCGTTCTCTAGTTTTAGCGAGACTAACGAACAGCAATTCATTTTTATATATACATAAGTAGATAGATAGATTATTACAGTCATATCGAAGTTCAGAGTTTTCGTGGTCACGAACGATTAAACCCTTCTATATTGATCTTTATTTGTCAATTCTGTAAAATACCGAAACTATTCTAACGTAAAAATAATTTTGTGTCTACAATAGTCTCCATATAGAAGAGGGTCGCCTGGATTGTCGATAATCCCATTCTCACGGATCGTTTGGAACCGCTGGGTTTGCGGAGTGCTCTGAGAAATTGTTTGATGATCCCATTACTTGGTTTCTACAATCGCACCGCCCGCCGCCGGAGTAGAGTTCATCCATACTACCTGGAGCTACTGCGTTCACCACAGTGCGTTTCCAGAGTTTTTTTTGCCACGTACCATCCGGCTTGGAATGAGCTCCCCTCCACGGTGTTTCCCGAGCGCTAATGACATGTCCTTCTTCAAACGAGGCTTGTGGAAAGTACTTAATGGTAGGCAGCAGCTCGGCTCTGACCCTGGCATTGCTGAAGTCCATGGGCGACGGTAGCCACCATCAGGTGGGCCGTATGCTCGACTGCCTGCGAGGGCAATAAAAAATAAATAAAAAGCAACTTCTACAAGTCACGATATTCGATGAGTGTAATTATATTGTGATCTAAAAATATTTTAAAATTAAATAGAGATGAAATCGCGAGTTCGTTCAAGTACCACATGATACGCGAAGGCATTAAGGCGGTAAATATTTAATATTAGGATCGTGTTCAGGTCCACCTACCTGCCTGAGTATTAATTGGATTAAGGTTGATAACTTGGTAACTATACTTGAGACCTTAGAACTTATACCTCAAGATGGGTGGCGTATTTACGCTGTGGATGTCTATGGGCTCCAGTAACCACTTAACATCAGGTGGGCTGTGAGCTCGTCCACCCATCCAAGAAATAAAAAATAAAGATACGATAACATTAAAACAAACACCATAGAAAACACTAAAGCATCACGCTATTTATAAAAACAGTTAAATTTAAAAATTTGCACCACTCTATGTGTTTGACAAACATGTGTTTCGATCCTTTGGTCTAGCTTTATAATTGGTTAACGATTATAATGTTATCTCAATCGGACGACAGTTTTATGAAAAATTGAATAATGTAATTCAGATTTTATAACGCGACTATACGATAGTACGATACAATCCGATAATATTTTTGTCCGCGCGAGTAGGTACCACCACCCTGCCTATCTCTGCCGTGAAGCAGTAATGCGTTTCGGTTTGAAGGGTGGGGCAGCCGTTGTAACTATACTTGAGATCTTAGAACTTAATCTCAAGGTGGGTGGCGCATTTACTTTGTAGATGTCTATGGGCTCCAGTAACCACTTAACTCATCTAAGCATTAAAAAAATATATATTTAGTGAGTTATTACATACCATAATTGAATTATTACCTTAAGCCTTTAACTGCCATGTCGGTCACCGGTGCCCTACATGTCGCTCTGAAGTAATTATGTTGATTTCTGTTATTAAGACGCCGGAATGTCTAATGACTCTGGGAAAGATGGAACCGAATACTGAGAATGAATCTATTTCTAAGAGACCTAAAAGACAAAAACCCATTAAAAACAAAAGAAGGCAAAGCTAGGCAATACAGGCGCATAGCAACAGCAATTGACTTAATTACATCAGCGCACCACGTAGGACTCGGGTGACCTAAATGGAGATCAAAAGGTTAAAATAACAAATAAATATTACATTTGTATGAATAAGATAATTTAACTATTTCAATTTCGAATTCAGTTAAGGGTTTTTTAACGGACAAATGAACTCATGAATCATCTAGTGCTAAGTTGTTATAGAAGTCAACAGACACGAGAATTCGCTTCCTATCCCTGAGATATGAAGTGGTAACTTAGTGTCGTAAAATTCCCTTCTGTCTGTTTTCTAGTGTCGTAAACTTTATTTCCGTCTTTCTTCTAGTGTCGTAAACTTTACTTCTGTATTTCTTCTAGTGTCGTAAACTTTCCTTCTGTTTGTCTTCTAGTGTCGTAAACTTTCCTCCTGACTTTCTTCTAGTGTCGTAAACTTTCCTTCTGACTTTTTTCTAGTATCGTAAACTTTCTTTCTGTAGTCTTCTAGTGTCGTAAACTTTCTATCTGTCTCTCTTCTAGTGTCGTAAACTTTCTTTTTGTCCGTCTGCTTCTCTCTTTCTTTCTGTCTCGTCCTTTGCGGTAAATGATTTCGAATACAATTTTTAGCAATAGATTTTAAGGCAACCGCTGATGTACAATCTACAATTACGAAGATAACATTGGTCGGTAATGATACGGTTCTCTGGCAAATGGAACGGAAGCCCCTAATGTGACTGACCCTCGGCTCTCCAATCACGCTACACTGCAACTTGCAAAATTATATAATTTTTTTTTTCTTTCTAAATAACTCTCGTTAAATGAGTTTTTGATAGCATTTTTTTGTTTGTTTTTATATTATATGTAATTCGGGTGATTTGTATACGAGTTATTTCGGAGGTATCGCTTAGAACGTAGATATAATGTTATAATCACTAAATGTATACTGCAAACAGCTAGCTATAGTTTTGTACATTATCGTTTGCCAGTTTTTTTTTATTTTTATTGCCTTTGTAGGCAGACGGGCATACGGCCCACCTGATGGTGAGTGGTTACCGTCGCCCATGGACTTCAGCAATGCCAGGGGCAGAGCCAAGCCGCTGCCTACCGCTTAATACTCTCCACAAGCCTCGTTTGAAGAAGGACATGTCATAGCGCTCGGGAAACACCGAGGAGGGGAGCTCATTCCATAGCCGGATGGTACGNGGGCAGAGCCAAGCCGCTGCCTACCGCTTAATACTCTCCACAAGCCTCGTTTGAAGAAGGACATGTCATAGCGCTCGGGAAACACCGAGGAGGGGAGCTCATTCCATAGCCGGATGGTACGTGGCAAAAAAGATCTCTGGAAACGCACTGTGGATGACCGCAGTGGCTCCAGGTAGTATGGATGAACTCTACTCCGGTGGCGATCGGTGCGAAAAGAATTTTTTTTAACTGAATTTGTTAGAGATTTAACTGCATTTGTTATAACATGAAAACACTAAAGCGTGTCCAACTAACTAAACAAGATAGCGCCATTGTTAATCCATTTTACGACATTATGGCGTTTAGCTGCCTGTGACTTTATAGGCCTCATATATAGATAATAAACACCCAGACGAAGACCAAACGAAACTGTACATCTCCAAAGTTTCTTTAATGTGGGTATCGAACCCACGACCCTAGGCGCAACAGTGTGGGGCGCTAGCTACTCCTCCTCCTCTCCTCTATCATTTCCTCACTGCTGAGGATGGTAACTATCATGTATCAACAGGATTTTCCTACTACAATACTACTACACCGATCAATCAAAAGAGAAGATTAGTGCGTTAAAACTTTTAATAGGTTTTTTTAGATTGCTTATATGGGTGAACGAGCTCACAGCCCACCTGGTGTTAAGTGGTTACTGGAGTCCATAGACATCTACAACGTAAATGCGCCACCTACCTTGAGATATAAGTTTTAAGGTCTCAGTATAGTTACACGGCTGACCCACCCTTCAAACCGAAACGCATTACTGCTTCACGGCAGAAATAGGCGGGGTGCTGGTACATACCCGTGCGGACTCACAAGACGTCCTACCACCAGTATAATAGGTATACAATCTCTATATTTTCTAACAACCGTAAAGCTGATGATTAAGGATGATTAATGGTGTTTCCAGAACGGTGGACACCACAGGGAGTTGAGGATGTCTTTGCCCGTTGACGAAGAAGAGTACTTACTGGAACTCAATCTCAACGAAGATCTGATCACGGATGACCACGTGCTGAGATACCAGAAAGACGGGAAGATGATCGCGCACAAACCAACCATAGAGGTTAGTGTCTTTTTGTTTTAAATTCATCAAATCATAAATCCTTCAAAGAGGTCGATTTAGGTAAACAAAAATATAGTTTTTTAACAATAACTTGATTTAAGCTTGTTTCTTTTTTAAATAAAAACAGATATAAACTAAAAAATTATGTTTATTGTGTGGGTTCTTTTTGAGACGTGTGCAAATTTTCACCTTAATTGGATGTAATTATAAAATACGTTTCAAAATTCTATTATGGAAACGAATACATACATACGGTTTAAGCTAATAAAAGCGTAAGAAAAATATATATATTTCTTAACAAAAAAAAACACGTGTGGCACTCGGGGACTGCCGCGGTAAAGTTATTTCATAGCATTTTTTATGACCTTATGCAATAATAATTAGACAATAATAATTTAATATTAAAACAATAATAAAATAAGACCACGCTATATTAAAATTTATAAACATTAACAAAAGCAAAACTTTAACTGTCCTCTTCACACTCATAAGCTAGACCGCGCGAGAGACAGATGGGCAGACTTTTCATGATGCGCCTGCAGTGCGACGTCACGCCGTGCGCTTATTTACAAACACTACACAAGCGCAACGTGTGAATTCGTCGAACGCGAGCTACATGGTAGGCGAAGTGGGGGTGTTAGGTTTTATTTTCGTTACGGAATTTCTTGATTCGGTCGCCGCGCGTTTAAATCCCGCGTTAAAAGCTATGCAATAGCTTAAAAACTTTACACATCTTTTCAGGATATAGATCTATGTCAATACTCTGGAACTGTGAGGGGGAAGCCGGATTCAAGAGTGGCCGTTTCTACGTGTCACGGCGTCAGGGGAATTATATACGACGGAGACAGACTGCGGTATATCGAGCCCGCTGAAGGTAACTTTACATGTTATTAAATTCAGCCTTTGACTTGGCTATAGAGATACAAAAATATACTAGCTGGCCCGGCAAACGTTGTTTTGCCATATAAATTATTCTCCATCTCAGGTTGGTCTCCGGTAACCACCTAACACCAGGTGGGCTGTGAACTCGTACACCAATCCGAATGACCGTGCGTGACTTGTTCCCAGTTTTTGTTATTATGATTATTAATATAAACGGATTTGTATGCTTCTGACATCCCACTCGCAGTCTTTAGTGTACCCGTGAACAGATCTTGCAACAGTGCCATTCCCGATCCTGCGGACAGAATGGAAAGCAGTCGACGTCGCCCAAAACACGTCATCTCGGATCCTCCCGATCCACTAACGGTGCTTTTAGGTACTTTAAGCACCGGTCACCGTTCTCGTCGAACCCGTCGCTTGCGACGAAGGGCTCGACGAGTAAATTAACTCTCAGACACAGCCCACTGAGTTTCTCGCCGGATCTTCTCAGTGGGTCGCGTTTCCGATCCGGTGGTAGATTCTGCGAAGCACGACTCTTGCTAGGGTTCGTGTTAGCAACATCGTCAGGTTTGAGCCCCGTGAGCTCACCTACTAAAGTTAGGGTTACGCTGAAATAGCCGCTAGGGCTATCAGCNAAAAAAAAAAAAAAAAAAAAAAAAAAAAGCAACAGTGCCTAGATATCTGAAGCTCATTGAATGTAAAAAAACGTGATAAGGGCCCGTTCATAATGTAAATGGCAGGGAGAGTATTAAATATCAGTGTGGCGGTATAATATACACATGTCGTGTTGTATGGTCGTCTGATCCCACAAGGTGGACTGACGACCTATTGAGGTTCGCGAGGATCTAAGCATGATGCAAGCAACACAGGACCTATCTTTGTAGCGATGCTTGTGGGAGGCATATGTCCAGCAGTGGACGTCGGTGGGCTGACAGATAGATAGCGGCGTTTTTTTTGTCCTTGCAGGCAGTGAGCATACGGCCCACCTGATGGTCAGTGGTTACCGTCGCCCATGAACTTCAGCAATGCCAGGGGCAGAGGCAAGCCGCTGCCTACCGTTAAGTACTCTCCGCAAGCCTCGTTTGAAGAGGGGCATTAAGACGTTATCGTGTCCTAAATCACTAATAAAGCACAGACTACATGTAAACATCGTCTCAGGGGGCGACATCCAATCACAGCACTATATGTACGATCACACGGATTTACACACGAACTACAACTGCGGGTATCATGGTGGTGTGACCAACAACAGTAATTACGACCCCGAGCTGTATCACAAATACCAAAAGGGCGAGGAGTTGAGCCGGACTAGAGTTGCCAGGGTAAGTGAATCATAGTGTTTTTTTCTCCGGGTTTCGCGAGCCGTGAACGTAGTTAACACATTGTACGCGGGTCTGGCGGTAATGCGGGATTCGAAGTCTGTCGCTTGAGCGTCAACCCTGTGATAATGCGGGATTCGAAGTGTGTCGCTTGAGCGCCAACCCTGCGATAATGCGGCATTCGAAGTGTGTCGCTTGAGCGCCAACCCTGCGATAATGCGGCATTCGAAGTCTGTCGCTTGAGCGCCAACCCTGCGATAATGCGGCATTCGAAGTCTGTCGCTTGAGCGCCAACCCTGCGATAATGCGGCATTCGAAGTCTGTCGCTTGAGCGCCAACCCTGCGATAATGCGGCATTCGAAGTGTGTCGCTTGAGCGCCAACCCTGCGATAATGCGGCATTCGAAGTGTGTCGCTTGAGCGCCAACCCTGCGATAATGCGGCATTCGAAGTGTGTCGCTTGAGCGCCAACCCTGCGATAATGCGGCATTCGAAGTCTGTCGCTTGAGCGCCAACCCTGCGATAATGCGGCATTCGAAGTCTGTCGCTTGAGCGCCAACCCTGCGATAATGCGGCATTCGAAGTCTGTCGCTTGAGCGCCAACCCTGCGATAATGCGGCATTCGAAGTCTGTCGCTTGAGCGCCAACCCTGCGATAATGCGGCATTCGAAGTGTGTCGCTTGAGCGCCAACCCTGCGATAATGCGGCATTCGAAGTGTGTCGCTTGAGCGCCAACCCTGCGATAATGCGGCATTCGAAGTCTGTCGCTTGAGCGCCAACCCTGCGATAATGCGGCATTCGAAGTCTGTCGCTTGAGCGCCAACCCTGCGATAATGCGGCATTCGAAGTCTGTCGCTTGAGCGCCAACCCTGCGATAATGCGGCATTCGAAGTCTGTCGCTTGAGCGCCAACCCTGCGATAATGCGGCATTCGAAGTCTGTCGCTTGAGCGCCAACCCTGCGATAATGCGGCATTCGAAGTCTGTCGCTTGAGCGCCAACCCTGCGATAATGCGGCATTCGAAGTCTGTCGCTTGAGCGCCAACCCTGCGATAATGCGGCATTCGAAGTCTGTCGCTTGAGCGCCAACCCTGCGATAATGCGGCATTCGAAGTCTGTCGCTTGAGCGCCAACCCTGCGATAATGCGGGATTCGATGTCTATCGCTTGAGCGCCAGCCCTGCGATAATGTGGGATTCGAAGTCTATCGTTTGAGCGCCGACCCTGCAATAATGCGGGATTCGAAGTCTATCGCTTGAGCGTCAACCCTGCGATAATGCGGGATTCGAAGTCTTTCGCTTTAACGCCCCATCCCTTTTGCTTCTATTTTTCGTTATCGTTAAATTGTTAATGACGAATATTGAAACACAAAATATAGTGTTTTACGAAAACGTACAAAATTTCAAATATTTTCTTCGCGTATTCATTGATATTTGATTATTGTTGATATTTACAATAAGTGAATCTTCTAAGCGGTCGATACGGTGGCGGCGCTGTCATTAAATGTCTCACATGCCACCGGCGTACAATGTGTTAAAACTATGTACATTTTACGGTTAGTCTCGCGTTATTTACTCTTATTGTGGTATCGTAAACTTCGAACATGCGGTCGGTCCTTTTAACCAACAATATAACGATGCTTATGTAAGATTTCATGACCTTAAATATCCGTCAGCGCATACTGCTTATTGGGTATACTTGTCAGAAAAACTTTAAAAAAAACAGAACGTCCTCAATGACGTAATAGCAATTTTAACACACGCAAATTAAATCCAACTAGAGGTCCCGCAGTAGTCGAAATTCGACTATAATTAATGGGAACTGTAAGTTTGTACACTATTATGATTGTATTTTATACTTCTATAGTCACAAATTTCTCCAAGACTACACTATAAAAAATATTAACAAAGACAAACAATATTTAATCTATTCTCAATTTGACAACAGATGTCAAGAACAAAATAATTAGTATGCATGCGTGTGTGCGTCATATACATGGTATGTAGTGTGTGTAATGTTTTCTTTATTGATTTAATGTATAGATTACCAAACGTACTCGTTGTATCGTCGCAAATAATACGTGAAGCAAAAACTTTGTATCCCTTTTACGAAAATTGCGCGGACGGAGGAGTATGAAATTTTCCACACTTATAGAGAATATAGAGAAGAAGTGCACAATGCCAATTTTTTTTTTAAATGATGCATAAAAGATACCTTAAATCAATAAAGAAAACATTACACACCCTACCATGTATTTGACGCACACACGCATGCATATTATTTATTTATTGTCAAACTTTTGTTTTTGACGTCTATGGTCAAATTGAGAATAGATTTAATATTGTTTGTCTTTATTAATATTTTTTTATAGTGTAGTCTTGGCGAAATTTGTGATTATAGAAGAAGAATAGTCTTTGAAATTAGAATCATAATAGTGTATAAACTTACAATTTCAATTAATTATAGTCGAATTTCGACTACTGCGGGACTACTGGTCGTCGCAAATTATTATCGACTTGCAATCGTTTTGGGAACACCCTGTATAGCATCGTTTCTATATATTGCAGTACAAAAGGAGCACTGACGACAATCAAGTACGCGAGCCCTTCAACGCGAACACGCTGTCGCGTTACGTGGAGCTTGTCCTCGTCGTCGACAACAAGGAGTTCAAAGCGAACCACGGAAACCTGCGAGCTGTGTACCAACAGATAAAGGACGTGGCGAACATCATTAACTCTGTAAGTGTTTTGTTTAATACTAGCGACCCACACTCGCTTCGCTTCGGAGACTGTAATTTATTATTGATTTCTCCACTATTTAATGGATGTTATTATACATATAAACCTTCCTCTTTAATCACTCTATCTATTAAAAAAAACCGCATCAAAATCCGTTGCGTAGTTTTAAAGATTTAAGCATACATAGGGATATAGGGACAGAGACAGCGACTTTGTTTAATACTATGTAGTGATGACAGTGCAAAGGATTTATATCATCAACTTTGTAGTTCGATTAGCATCGTGCTATAGATGGAGATGGAAGTAGAGAAAAATATAAAAAACTAGCTGTAGGTACCGGTCCGCTTCGCTGGGTATTTAAAATTAACATAATTATTTCTCACCCCCACAAAGATTTTCATCATTAAAGCCCCCGCAACTGGTGTAGGGAGTCCAACACTCATATAAATATTAGCCTATCCATTGAGTACATGTATTTTCTACATGGATACCAATTTTCAAGTCAATCGGATGCATGGTCCAGTAATTATGACGGAACATCGTAAAAACCACTGTAGATTTATATATTAGTATAGATGTAGGAGTAAATTCAAGGCATTCCTGAACCTACTCAGTTTCTCGCCGGATCTTCGAGTGGGTCGCGATTACGATCCGGTGTTAGATTCATTGAAGCACTGCTCTTACAAGGGCTAGTGTTAGCAATTTCTCTTACATTGTGCCCGTGAGCTCACCTACCAGACATAGCGTTGCTGGAATAATCCCTTAAGCTACCAAGGAATAGGTTGGGAAATGCATTCTAACTGTGAAAAATATTGAACACGTTACGAACGCAATCATTAAAGGCGTTGCGAATTGAATTTTGGAAGGTTCTGTGAATATATCGAATACTTAAGACGGTCCTTCCAAAACCTCACAGTATTACAGTGAAAATATTACAGGTCTATGCTCCACTGAACATATTCATAGCTCTAGTCGGAGTAGAGGTTTGGACGGAAAGAGACGAAATACAATTAGAGGAGGACGGCGATGAAACGTTGAAGCATTTCTTGCACTACCGGAGAACGACTCTACTAAGAGAAGTGCCCAATGACAACGCGCATTTGTTAACGTGAGTTCTTGAAGATAAACTTAAGTTCCATTGTAACGTCAATCTTGTGCCTTAAATTGGGACACTGTGTGGTCTCGTCAAATCATTTAACACCAGTCGGGTTTTGTGCTCATTGCTTTTCTCATAGTGAACAGAATAACGTGAATTTATCGAATTTTTTTTCTGGTGTATGTAGATGTTTGATTAATTTGGATCTCCGCTTAACCTGGTCTGAGTAATTGCGTTGACCTCATCATCTCGTACCATCGCAGCACCTTTTTTTTGGGCTGGGTTCCGAACCTCCTACGAGGTCCCCGCGCGCCCCCTAGGCATTTGGGACTTGACGATCTATAGATGTTGGGAGCGGACCGTAGGCCCGAAGACGTTTTAGGGCCCTACCCACTAACCGACCCCCCTTACGCGATACGGACGCGGGCGTCTCCAATCACCAAGTGGGCCCCGGGATGCGGCTTTCCCAGCCCTGTGAAACAGCAGGGCCTGGGATTTCTCGAGCGCCACCTACCAACGCAGCACCCACCATTGGAATCCACCATTCCTTGAACCGCTGTGTTCAGCGAGTCCGTTTCAAAGGATCTTTTTGGAAATTCTTCCGACACTGTCTGTTCCTTGAGCTTTATGATACGTCCTTCGAAATGAGACTCGAATGGAGCAAGTTTTGGAGCGAAGGGAGTGTAAGCTTATGTCAATGATTGCAGTCGGCAGGCGTTCAAAGACGGCGTCGTCGGTAAAGCGCTAAAAGGGCCGATATGTACGTACGAGTTCTCCGGCGGCGTGGCCACGAATCACTCTGAGGTGCTGGGCCTGGTGGCCACGACCATAGCCCACGAGATGGGCCACAACTTCGGCATGGAGCACGACACGGAGGAGCACTGCGAGTGTCCAGACGAGAAGTGTATCATGAGTCCGTCCAGCACTTCGGTAATCCCGGTCCGGTGGTCGTCGTGCAGCCTCAAGTCGCTGGCGCTCTCTTTCGAACGAGGAATGGACTACTGTCTGAGGTTAGCTTAGCTTTCATTTAGTTTTAAGGCTTAATTTATTCATTACGAGGCTTGTAGGGAGTATTTAGCGGTAGGAAGCGGCTTCGCTCTGCCTCTGGCATTGCTGAAGTCCATGGGCGACGGTAACCACTCACCATCAGGTTGGCCGTATGCTCGTCTGCCTAAAAGGGCAAAAAAAAGTAGAATCATTCCTTATATTGTTTATAGGGTTGTCACGCAAAGAAATTCACTATTCAAAATTTCAATATTCGTTTAAGATTGTTGGAAAAGAAAGTATATATATATTTTTTAAAGGAAACACCAACCATTTGTTGAAACGCCTCGCTCATCATTAACTTTCGTGGTTTTATGGTCCTATAGTAAAAATCTACTCGGAAGTTTCAATAACTAATGACCCATGCTTCAATTAAGTCTGATAAATGAGTATTACCTAGATTATTGAATCACAATGGCCACCCATCATCAGATATACTCGTTTGTCTGTAAACGACGTAAACATTCATTTTGCTTTAACAAATTACATATTAGGTGTTTTTTTTTCAAATGTTGCCACACTAATGAATCGTCGGTGTTGCCAGGAACAAGCCTCGTCGTTTATTCCAATCTCCGACGTGCGGCAACGGCTTCATCGAGCCCGGCGAGCAGTGCGACTGCGGGATGACGCCGGACCGGAGCGGCAGGAGCGACTGCCACCGCTGCTGCCACCCCACGACGTGCATGCTGCGTGCCAATGCGACGTGCGGCGCGGGGACCTGCTGCGATCTGCAGGTAAACCGCTGAGGAAACTTGTGTAGCTTCATTGAGTGACTTTATTTCAGGTATAGATTAATGCGCTGCCCTTATAAGCCGCGCCAATAAAGAAACGAATCTAAAATGGCGGCGGTGATTTAACCCATAGACACAGCCCACTGAGTTTCTTGCCGGATCTTCTCAGTGGGTCGCGTTTCCGATCCGGTGGTAGATTCTGCGAAGCGTTGTTCTTGGTAGGGTCAGTGTTAGCAACACTCCGGCTTGAGCCCCGTGAGCTCACCTACACACGTTAGGGTGAAGCTGATATAACGGCCGTCTGGTGTAGTGGTAAGTGACATGGTCACTACACAAGGGGGTCGCGGGTTCGAATCCCGCCAAGGGAAGATATTTGTATGATAAATATAAAATGTCTTTTCCAGGGTTATGTATGTATATTAGATAAAATATATGTATGTGTATAATAAAAATCTTACATTTATTTCCGTTATCTGGTACCTGTAACACAAGTTCTTTACGACCTTACCACGGGACCAGTTAACGTGGCGTGATTGTTAGTAAATATATTTATATATTTAAATATATATGATGATATGATATGATGATGATATAGCCTCTCAAGGCTATCAGCATAGGTAGGGGGAAAAAAAGGCGGGGATCATACGGTTTCACTCTAAACTATTACTGTCTGTAGTCGCACGTCGATGAAGTCGTCGTGGCCTAACGGATAAGACGTTCGGTGCATTCGTGTTGATGTGCACCGGTGTTCGAATCTCAAGCGGGTACCAGTTTTTCTAATGAAATACGTACTCAACAAATGTTCACGTTTGACTTCCACGATGAAGGAATAACATCATATTAAACTAAAGATAACATTAACATACCATACATACATAACATTAAATTAAAGTTTTCTAAGGACTTTTTTTGTAAACTTTGAGGTTCTTTAGCCTACGTTGTTTTTATGACTTAGATGGGTGGACGAGCTCACAGCCCACCTGGTGTTAAATGGTAACTAGAGCCCATAGACATTTACAACGTAAATGTGTAACCTACCTTGAGACTGAGAGTGGTCGGTCGTGGTCATCAGTTCAGCTGATGGTGCACTCGACAAGACATCGCTATTCCTCGATTATTCAATATTTGTTCTTCTTAGTCGAATACTTCATTGCTTAAGGTCGTGTTCTTGAAAGCCCTTCCACCTTCCATTTGCTTCGGTTTTCGGCTTCTCTCAGGGCATTCGCAACAGAGAGTCCAGGGAGCGCAGTTATCTGATCCGACCAACGGTTTGGAGGCCGGCCGGCGGGTCTTTTCGCTACTGCCATTTATTCAATACAGGCAGTCTCTAATTTTCAATAATTCGTACGAGACAGACTTGCCGACCCAAGTCAGCGGGGACGGTGTGTCGGAGATCGGAGAAGGAGTGCGACCTCCCGGAGTACTGCACCGGGCAGTCCGAGTTCTGTCCGGACGACGTTTACAAGATGGACACCATACCGTGCAACCATGGACAGGTACGAACGCACACAACAATGGTCGCTCTATAACAAATTTTGATACTGTATACCGTTAAATTGGGGGGAATCGGGACACTTTTTAAGTTCGACATTGATTTTTATCGTTTTTTTGTTTTTTAGTTATAGTAATAAAACGGAGATAATAATTGATCCGTTTGTTTAAATTTTCATTTATAATGCATTAAGATATAGTTTATTAAAGAATAATCATAAAAAGTTACAAAAACTCACTTGTCCCTATGCATCCAGGCGTTGGGTGAATCGGGTCGCTTAAGGGACAATAGAGTTTTTCGATAGGGCTGGCACTATTTAGTTGTTAGGTAGGTACGTAACTTTAGGTAGTTAACTTTTTAATATCTTTGAGTTACAAAACTTTTATGACTAAATTAAACTATTTAATATTCTTAAACACTAAATAAAAGTCATTTTCAGTTCAACAAAGTTAAATCTAACAACTGAACAAAATAATTGTGACATCCAGATTTGTCCCTATTCTACCTTTAGTCCCTATTCCTCCCAATCTTATTGTACGTGGTAATCTAATGATGTTCATTCTAAATATAGGTTTCACGTTAAAATTATAAAAACTAAAATTTAACAAAAAATAAACAAAGAAACATAAATTTGTAATTTTTTTGTTATGTTTACGTGTTGAACAATTAGATAAATGATATTTTAAAAAAAGTATTAAATTTAGTTGTAACCGGTTCGTTCCGGTTTTAATTTATTTGACCTTCTTGACAATTCTTGCTTCTACTTTTTGGCAAGACAAAGTCAGACACACACAACGATTTAATTATTCTTAATTATTCTTAAGACGTTGACTGCCGTGTGGGTCACCGGTGCCCTGCGCGGCGAACTGAAATAATTATGTCGATTTCTGTTACTAAACGCCTGAATTGCCTAACCATGCCTTCCTTTGTTTGTTAATATGTGCATCTTTGGATTCGTCATTCGCAGATTCTAGTATATATTCCAGCGCTTTAATAAGAAGATCAGAGAAGAGATAAATCCGACGCAATTACTTGAGTGCGTCACGTGGGGCACCGGTGATCTAAGTGGCAACAACGTGTTAAGATTCGTATTGGTTAAATCGTTTTACTCCAATTGGCCTGACTTTGTCTTGCCAAAAAGTAGCAGCGAGTAGTGTAGAGGGTAATTAATTAAAACCGGAACGAACCGGTTATGAAATGAATATGAAATCTCATGAATATGAATGGTTGCAGGCGTACTGCGTGAAGGGCTCTTGCCGCTCGCACACGGACCAGTGCCGGCTGCTGTGGGGCGTCACCGGGGAGAGCTCGCACGACAAGTGCTACATGTCAGCCAACGTCAAAGGGAACAAGTACGTGATTCAATAATATTTGTTATCTGTGACCCCGCAATGTACTGTAAAGTCGGTCATGTGCTGCCGCGAAGCAGTCCGCTTATACAGCACGTCAGTAAGTATCTATAGTCGGCATCAGTGCGCCATTTCGACAAAGCGGCACGACACGAGAACCCCCTCTTCGTGGCCGCCGGTAATTACATTCCCGATCCTGCGGAAAGAATGGAAAGCAGTCGACGTCGCCCAAAACACGTCATCTCGGATCCTCCCGATCCACTAACGGTGCTTTTAGGTACCTCAAGCACCGGTCACCGTTCTCGTCGAACCCGTCGCTTGCGACGAAGGGTTCGGCGAATAAAATGACTCATAGACACATCCCACCGAGTTTCTCACAGGATCTTCTCAGTGCGCCCCTTTTTTTTCTTTTTTTATTGCTTATATGGGTGGACGAGCTCGCAGCCCACCTGGTGTTAAGTGGTTACCGGAGCCCATAGACATCTAAAACGTAAATGCGCCACCCACCTTGAGATATAAGTTCTAAGGTCTCAGTATAGTTACAACGGCTGCTCCACTCTACAAACCGAAACGCATTACTGCTTCGCGGCAGAGAGGTGGTACCTACCTGCGCGGACTCACAAGAGGTCCTAACACCAGTAATTATGCAAATTATAATTTTGCGGGCTTCATTTTCATTACACGATGTAATTCTTCACCGTGAAGAAGTCAATCGTGAACATTTGTTGTGTACGTATTTCATTAGAAAAATTGGTATCCGCCTGAGATTCGAACACCGGTGCATCGCTCGACACGAACGCACCGGACGTCTTATACGTTAGGCCACGGCGACTTCAACCTTCAACGGTCCTACCACAATACAAATATTAACTCAACAGGAACGGCAACTGCGGCTACATCCGCCCCGCCCAGCGGTACGTGCCGTGCGCTTACGAGGACGCGCGCTGCGGCCTGCTGCAGTGCAGACACCTCAATGAGAAGCTGGAGTTCGGCATGGACTCGGTGGCGGCCGTCTCGGCGGTTTTCATCAACAATAACGGTACGCGATCGCCCAGCGTAACCTGCTCCGTCGTGCTTACTGAGCTGTTGCGACCGAGGACTCATCTGAGAATGGGCAGCAACGTTCTCTGAATGGCGTGCTATTTCACACCAGTAAAGAGTTTATAGCCGTTACTTAGCATCAATGAGCTCATTTAAAATCCGAATCCGCGAGACTCTTTTTTGATTTGATGGTTGGACGAGCTCACAGCCAAATCAAATCAAATCAAAATTTTTTTATTCAACATAAATGAAAGTACATACTTGTTGAACGTCAAAAGAACTATCGCCAATTCACAAAAACTAGCCTCCTTCTTGAGAAGAACTGGCAAGAAACTCAGCGGGCGTCTTTCTTTTTTAAATACATATTAGATTTTTTTTTAAATATCCATTTTTACAATGAGTATTATAACGTAACAATTATTACAATATTGAAATGCCCGGAGCGAGCAACTCATTCCCACTTTGTGCAATCTTCTAGCCCACCTGGTGTTAAGTGGTTACTGGAGCCCATAAACATCTACAACGTAAATGCGCCACCCACCTTGAGATATAATTTCTAAGGTCTCAGTATAGTTACAACGGCTGCCTTACCCTTCAAACCGAAACGCATTACTGCTTCACGGCAGTAATAGGCAGGGTGGTGCGGACTCACAAGAGGTTCTACCACCGGTAATGTTGTCGTTCTTAATTCTCAGCGGCCGCTGGCGGCTTGTTCCTTTGTAATCTGTTACTGATGTCCCTGAGCAACGGAATATGTTATTAAAATTTATGATCACCGAATTTTCGTTTTGTGTCGCGCGGTGACTTCCATGGGGAATGCGCTGAAAAATTGCTGAGGCGATTTCGTCTTCCTTTTAAACAGGGTTGAAGGGGCAACGACTTGGCTGAGCCTCTGGTATTGCTGATGTCAATTAGCGACGGTAACTGTTTACCACCACGTGGGCCGTATGTCCCTCTGCAATGCGCGTATCATAGATCGCAAGTGATATCGCAATGTTTTGATGGTAAAAAGCCATCGCTAATGAGAAAAAATACTAAGTAACAGAAGTTGTACTTTTTATGGCATTTGGGGGAAAAAATGAGAGTGTATTTTTTGTATACGATGATGGACTGTGCGTTGTAACATATAATTATATTTCATTGTGAAGATTTGGGTATTAATGTTTAAAGTTAAATATAATTTCGAATAAAATTATATACGGTTAGTCGGTAAATAATTCAATTACGCCACAGAAGTACAACTTCTTGCGTACTTTCCGTACTAATGTAAACATTGCTTATGGTTGGTTTTTGTTGTTGTTGTTGATTCTACACATAGTAATTTAAATAGAACTGTAATCGAATGAACACAGGTACGATAATACCGTGCCGGACGGCCATCATCGATTTGGGACTGGGAGACGTTGATCCCGGCCTCGTGCCCGACGGAGCCGCCTGCGGGGAGCACAAGGTGAGACGCACAGACGGCCGCACTCATGCGTAATGTTTGTATACACAGATGGCACGATAACGTATTGTCTGTCCGCCGGCAACTTGCACTACATTCAAGGCAGAGATCAGGGTTTGGTTCCGGACGGAGCCGCTTGTGGTGACGGGCGGGTGAGGCTATGTGTCCGAGAAGCGAAACGTGATAACGCTTCCCGCTAGCGGATAATTTGAAGCTTGCCATATGTTGGGACTGCCTTGTCCTTCCCCCCCCAATCCTCCCAATCCACTAACGGTGCTTTTAGGTACCCCAAGCACCGGTCATCGTTCTAGGGCTCGACGAGTAAATTAACCCTCAGACACAGCCCACTGAGTTTCTCGCCGGATCTTCTCAGTGAGTCGCGTTCCGATCCGGTGGTAGATTCTGCGAAGCACGGCTCTTGCTAGGATTCGTGTTAGCAACGTCATCAGGGTTGAGCCCCGTGAGCTCATCTACTAGTTAAGGCTACGCTGATATAGCCTCTCAAGGCTCTCAGCTTAAGTAGGAAAAAAAAGATCCTTTTCCTTTATTCCTTCTCAATCCGCTGTCCACGCCATCTTTTGACACTATAGTAAAAACTACGTGTGTGAAAACGAAGAGTGTGTGTAAAACTTAAACACGGTGCAAAAACGATAAAATTTTGATTCGTTGATCAATCAGCACATATAACTCTCGCCAGTGAGAAAATAGAAAAGATCAACGAACTATGGAGTGAGTCCTAAAACTTTCCTCAGTCCTTTTCTCAGTCCCTAACATATTTAAATTCAAAACCAATTAGTATTAGGTACGGTCAACAGAATAGGCACAATTAAAAGCGTGGTGGTATAGGACGTGTTGTGAGCCCGCACGGGTAGGGACCACCACATGCATACGTCCCACTTTGTAGGGTGGGGCAACCATTTTTCTATAGAACTGAGACTTGGAATTAATTTTGCAAGTTGGGTGGTGGAATTTAAACTGTTGATGCCTATGGACTCCGGTAACTGTTTAACTCTATATGGGCCGCGATATCGTCGACCCATCTAAAAATAAACAAAGAGTAACCACCACAAAGGATTCTTTCAAAAATCACTTTTAACGTACTAATAATTATGTTGTATTTTGTTTATCTCTCGTTCGCTTACAAGTGCTCGCCGCATCGCCAAGCCGTTTCACTAACATTTCAGCTTTATTTATTAACTTACCTTCATCTGTTTTTAATGAATTTACAATTCAAACGTGATAAAAATGTGGTAAATAATATGAATTTTTCTCTGGTAACAACTAATACTATATGTAAAAAATGAATATTTCTTTGTCCAAGTTTTAGGGAAATCGCTCCTCCGAATGAGTTGATTGTTCTGAGGTAATTGAGACAGATAGGGATGGGGGTCATTGTGGGAATTGGGAGACCCTAATATTTTTAACCTCATCTTTGACTGACAGTATGGTGCCTTTGTGATCACCCATGGGTAGGTCCAATTGCCATGTTTAGTTCTGTCGTGAAGCACCATATGGGTGGTGTTATTTATGTAGCCATGCTTATTAGCTCTAAGAACCACTCAATACCAAACGGACCGTGAACTCGTTGGCCCGTCAAAAAAAAAACCTAATTTGCTTTCGAATATCGAATAGTTAAAAACTGTCACATTTATTTAGAATTCGTCGAGAGAAATTTGCCGAAACGATTATTTCTAAATTCCCAATGTACTCCGGTGCGATTTGTACCGGTGTTCGAGTTCCGAAAATAGTTACCAATCGCCATAAAAAGAACTAATGCTTGATTCATATTCACGAGACAAACTTCCACGATGAAGGAGTAACATCTCCAAATAGCATTATACACGATCGGTGTTTATCTGTCTCTTTCTCCGCTGTCTATCTGTCTCTTTCTCCGCTGTCTAACTATCTCTTTCTCCGCTGTCTATCTGTCTCTTTCTCCGCTGTCTAACTATCTCTTTCTCCGCTTTCTTCTTTCAACGCATGCAGGTGATTTTCGTACGACTCTCGGTAATGGAAAGAGCGATAAACGAGGAAGGTTTGTTTATACAATTTCTAAATACGTTAGATAAGATTGCTGGACCATCGCGGTGCTATATAAAAAGAAAGGGGTTTCCACGCTAACGAAACCGCGGGCGGAATACTAGTCGTGTAATGAAATTGATATTCGCAATTTTTGGTCTATTTGCGTAATACCTGGCGCTGGGGTGCATTGTAAACCCGCTCCGGTAAGTGCCGCCGTCATCCCTGTTTCCGTCACGAAGCAGTAATGCGTTTCGATTTAAAGGGCCGTGGAAGGCGTTGTACTGTTAAAATTGAGGCTTAGAACTCATGCCTCAACTTGTGTGGCGGCATTTACGTTATGCTAATATCTGTGAGCTCCAGTAACCGCTTAACACCAGGGAGGCCGTGAGCTCATTCACCCATCTAAGCAGCGAAAAAAATATAGTGCGCGTGCAACTTGGTGCACGTGAAAGAAGTGAAACTTCTCTGCGGTGTGTAGTATTGTGATTTTCTTAATTTTTCATCCTTAAGTAAATCAAATTTCTCTTGTAATAAGGAATGGTGTGCTTAAGAAAAACGACCTAGCTCTCTTTGTACTTTCCCTATCTCCACGGTCGAGTGGTTCGCGAGAGGCTCTGCCTATTTTCTCACTCTCACTCTTCCTAAATTGTATCTTCATTCTCTAGCCATAATGAATCTATCGCGAGTTTAATTTTACTTTCAACGCGCCTAAAGAAGTTTCACTTCAAAAATGTAAGAACTGCATGATCTTGTAATAAAGGGTTCCCTTCGATAATCGTTTTTCAGATGTGCTTGAAACAAAGGTGCGTGTCCGTTGAGTCCGTCCGGGAGACGATAGTCAACAAGCACTCGTCGATCTGCCCGTCCAACTGTTCCGGGCACGGCGTCTGTAACTCCGAGGGTGGGTACACGAGCCAATAAAATATTATGGAGGGTAGACGTAAAGAGAGTCATCTTTTTTTTTTAAGGAATTTTATTACCTGGTAACTAAGACCTTTAGGTCATGTCTTATTTTAATTTATATTCTTATTTTTATGAAAAATGATAATATGGAGTGAAATGAAATGAAATGAAATGAAATGAGATGAGATGATATGGGACGAAATATAATCTCAATAAAATGGTGGTACCTAGAGTGATTTTATTTCGTAAACTCTGAATGGTAAGATTATTGATTTATTAACACTCCATTTATGAAAAAGTATCTATCAAAGTATTTAACGGTAGGCAGCAGCTTGGCTTTGCCTCTGGCACTGCTGATGTCCATGAGCGAAGGTAACAACTCACTATCAGGTGGGCCGTATGCTCGTCTGCCTACAGGAGCAATAAATAAATAAACTTATATAATATTTGGCGCTTCCGTTAAGTTTACCCTAATGTGGCGCCACCCTAATTTAATACATTTAGACGGACACATTTCATATACACAGTTGATTCTCCTTACATCTACCCTCCATATAAAATATATGTCATTGTTTTTGATTCTTCAATTTGCGGATACTTTTCTCTTGTGAGTTCGCATGGGTAGATACCACCACCTTGCTTATTTCTGCCTTGAAGCAGTAATGCGTTTCGATTCGAAGGGCGGAGCAGCCGTTGTAACTATACTGAGAACTTAGAACTTATAACTCACGGTGAGTGGCGCATTTACGTTGTAGATGTCTATGGGATCCAGTAACCACTGAACACCAGGTGGGCTGTGAGCTCGTCCACATATCTATAAAAAATAAAAATAGCAGCCCTAGACGTAGGCCTTTTGAGTCGACCCGTAAATATTTGCACGCGATATCGAGTTATCGCCTCGCGTTTGTTCGACAGGTCACTGTCACTGTGAAGCCGGGTTCGCGCCGCCACTGTGTGCCTTGCCCGGCCCTGGTGGCTCCGTGGACTCCGGTCCGGCCACCGACCCGACCAGTAAGTATTTACACGTACACTCAAAGAGTCAATTTTTTTAAGGGACTTTATGACCTGGTAACTAAGACCTTTAGGTCAAGTCTTATTTTCATTATAATGAAAACTTTTTTTTAATGAAAAATTATATTATGAAATGAAATGAGATGATATGGGATGAAATATAATCTCAGTAAAATTGTGTAATTTACTGAGACTTTCTCAGTGGACTTTTTGGAGGATCCCGAGAAGTTGAGTTCGGCGGCTTTGTTTTATTTTCCCACATTTGTGCACTTTCACAGATACTAAACAGTTAATAAACCACCGTTATTACACATTTAAACCTGAAGAAACATAGATAAAAGAAAACAAATCACACAACTTCACTTCTCGCGTTCCTCCTCAAAGAGTCAAGCACACTTGAAGTCATACACATAAATTAGTTATAGATAAGCAACTCAAGCATTCAACAAATATTATTCACGGGCATCGGCCACTAGATGGCTCCACTTCGATTAGTTTCTCATTGCTCCTGTACATGGCAGTGACATATTACCTTTCCTATATATTATTTTAAATTAAGGTTTTTGTAAATTTTGAAAAACCACAAATTTATAAAATTTAATTTGTCTATAACAAATAAGGACTTGTATGATTTATTAAATTATTTATTTTGTCTTTAGTTCTACCATAATTAAGTACCTTAACTTTAAAAACATATAAGTTTAGGGGAATTCGCTACAAGATGTCGCTAGTTTCCATACAGAAAAATATTTGTCTTAAAGTATCGTAGTTTCAGGGCCCTCCTTGAAGTTGTCGTTAGTGAAGTTTGGCCAAGACAACTTCAGAGTCAGTCGTCGATATCACTACACATGTGTGTGTTATGTTAAAATGATATATTGTGTCATTACAATATGTAAAGAACTTTTTTATATGTACATATCATTTCAATAATTCAATGAACCTACCACAGCTTTCTCTACACTAGCCTTGTTTAACTAGTAGAGAGTGCCTCAGGCATCAAGTTCGACAATACTATTGTGCATAAAGTCAAATAAACAAGTATAATAAACTTAATAACAGCATTAATATAATGAGTATTCTATTCTTCCAATATTAATTCAAGAGTAGTTTGAATCGGGATCCGATGCGAACCCACAACATGCTGGTGGATTTTGCTTCCTCAAACCCTAACAAATAGGGCACTAAGCCCGGTTTTCACGATGTTATTCGTACTTATTAATAACAAGCGGCCCGCTCCGGCTCCGCTCGGGTCTTTAACAAAAATTTTAATGATATTTGACGTTGTTTTATTTTTTTAAATAAAGAACACTTATTGCGGCATAACCATAATAGTTAGACATATGCTGTCGCGACACTTTTTGTAAATAATAATGTGTTCTACAAAGTCGTAGTACATTATTTTATTCTATCATCGCAGGGCACGCGATGTAAAGAATATTTTAGGTAATTTTTTTACGCCTTGGGTTACATTATTAGAATTTTAGTAAGGATTCCTAATTTTTTTCAAAAAAGATTATAGCCTATGTCACTCTGGAATAGTGTAGCTTCCAAACATTGAAATAATTTTTCGAATCGGTTCAGCAGTTTCGGAGCCTATTCAATACAAACAAACAAACTAATCTTTCCTCTTTATAATATTAATGTAAATGTGAAACTGGTACTATTGCGATTGTGGCTCACCAGATAAAGATATGGAATACATAAGGATCTCTGATATAATAAACATGTTTCGTTACAGTCCAAAGGAACTTCATGGTCGCGATGTACGTGATCTTCCTCGGCATCATACCGTCGGTTCTGCTCGTCATGTTCCTCGTGTACTACTCGAGACACAACGTGCTGTACTGGTGGAAGAAACCACGGAAATCGTACGTAGACTATTTGCTATGTAACTGGAACGCTCCCGACAAGGGCGCTTACACAAACAGATTCAAGAAACGCACCAGCTCGCTCCGCAACTTGCTAAGCTTCAAACGCAATAAGAACGCGACAAGTGAGGCATGCGACGATAACCCACCGGCGCAAACTCAGAAACCGGTCCGCTACAAGATAACGGACTTTAGTGAGAACGGTCAAAAGAAGCTCCTGAAGAAACCTACGAAGAGAATCAACAAAGAGGACATACAGATCGGATGCGATCCGAAACGGCCCCAAGTGCCGCCGAAGCCAAACGAAATTAAACCTAATCTGGTCATAATAAAGCAGGGTTTGGCGTCCACGACTAACGAAATGGTTTTCGTCGGACACAAGAGAATGTATAACGTTGGGAACAACGGGTACGCCGATATGTCCGGTACTAACGTGAAAGTGCACGGTCGTAACAAAATCTGATATCGAATCTTCATTTAGTACTAAATATATTAATACGTATATTGAGAATTAAATTGTAGATAAGACCTATATTATCAATTCACACTAATCTAACAATAGATTTGAATTCGTTTGGCATGGCGTGATAAAGCACTCACATGATTCAAAGCTCACATGAGCTCACAGTTCACACCCGCGATCGCGGAGCTTGCAAAATTTATTGATAGTGAAATTCGTGGTAAAAGCCCGTTAAGTATTGCAGTTGTCTGTGTAATGTATTTTTTTTTATTGCTTATATGGGTGGATGAGCTCACAGCCTACCTGGTGTTAAGTGGTTACCGGAGCCCATAGACATCTACGACGTAAATGCGCCACCCATCTTGAGATATAAATTCGAAGGTCTCAAGTATACTTACAACGGCTGCCCCACCCTTCAAATCGAAACGCTTCACGGAAGAAATAGGCAGGGTGGTGATACCTACTTTCGATATTGGTCACAAATTCTACAATAGCAAAGCTCTAAGTTGTTCCCTGAAATCGTACGTGCTTAGATCATCAAATGAATATTCTGTGTTTCGATTTCGTCACTCCTCATACTCATGTTTTTGTTAATTTTTTCCGTAGCATCATGTAGTTAGTAACATTAGTTGGGTATTGTATGTTCTAACTTAGCATTGGTGTATGTAGTACTAATCTCTTTTTGATATCTATCGTAATAAAATTTCATATTTCCTATGTTTTCTTTTCAGTCTTGTTTCTGTTCGCTTCACCCTTTCTTTTCTAACTACGTTGTTGGCAGTAAAACGATAATGTCGTGATAAAAATACTATTATTAGTTTAGTCATGTTTTGTACGTAAGAAAAATAAGTGTGTCAATTTTTTAAGTGAAACTTGTTTAGAATCATTATGATTTCAAACTTGATGAAACGAAAAAATAAGTCCGTAGTGTTTTTTTAATACAGCGCCATCTATGAGATTTTTTAATACTAACGTGTGTATGAAACCTCTTGTAGTGAATTTTAATTTAGGATTATACGTGAAGTTAAAATTCAATTCACAGAGGGCGCTACTTCATACTATAAAAGATGATTTACAATTATTTACTAATGACAAAATTTTACATATACTTAGACATTTAGGATAATTGTATTTTAATTTTTGAAGGTTTCACTTCTACCACGTGTGAATTGCACACATGTATTTTTTTCGTCATGGCAACATCGGCTGTTTTGTTAAAAAAGCACTACTACAGTCGTATAACTGACTAAAAACGAATCGATTTAATTCTGTAATTTTTTTTCTGCTCCATTTACTGGCAACAACGTTATTCACTTTAATTAAATGTTCTTGGTGTGACGGTTTTTATCGGTGAGTGGTTTGCATATTGGGTTTTAGCATGTTGAAAACTAAATAATCATTCCCGAATATCGAAAGCATAAGGTCGGACATGTATGAGTTGCATCAGGCTAGAGCCCCGTGAGCTCACCTACTCGCTCGGGGAATCTAGTGTTATACTAGAGTTATATCGAGATTTCTAGAATAGGTAGGAAAATAAATAATTGTTTATCTCGTCTAAATTATTGCAAAGTGAAAATTAAAAGTTTTGAAATTATGGTCTAGAGGTCAGGCTCTGACGATCCGAGAAAAATTAGACTTTATGCTTGAGATATGAGAGATATGTGTCTGCTTAACTACTTACACTATTAAAAAAAAATATATACATTGTAACACCTATATGTATGCGTTATTTGTTGGCTTTAACATCTATTTGCTTTTCTTCTAACTATTCTTCTGCTATTTTCTAACAAACATGAAATTAATAATTATCTATGAGTTATTTTTAAAAAATTGTTTGAAATATCATTAACATACGTACTTTTTTTTTTTTGAACTGGAATACTAATAAATGCATGGTTTGTTTTCTCATTATCATTATTTCCTATAAAATACTAAACATAAACGCCCTAATTCATATCGAATTTCTAAACGAGTTATAAAAACCAGTATTTTTTATCTTTAATATTCCGTCCCAGGTCTCCGTCACCGAAGAAAGCGAGCCTCCAGCACCGGATATCGCGGAGTGCAAGCAAATTCGCAGCCAATTTCCAGAACGGCCCCCAGAACGGTGCCCAGCCCGTCGTGAACACGCTTTCGAACCCGGACGACATGAGCTCTAGCCTCTTGAGAAGCGACTCCGACAGGAACCCATCAGGTAACATCAACCCGTCAGTCAATTTCTTCGGAAACTTCAAGGGTTTCACGTTAACGCCCATAGAAAAGACTCAAGACGCCACCGACAAGAGCGAGGCTGACGCGAAGACTGCCAAGACTGCTATGGAATCTAAAAGCGCAAAGATCACGCCGGTACATCGCAGCAGTAGCAACAGTCAGAGCTTAATGAATCAAGGAGCTTTGAAGTCCACGTTACGAGCAGCCCCGCCCCTACCCGTCGTGCCGGCTGCGGCGAAAACCAGTCCGGCAACAAGCCCGGCCGTCAAAAGAACGAACAGTTCGGTACAAAACAGGATAAAAGCTTTGATGACCGCAGAGAAACCGGAGGAAACTCCTGTTAATCCACCGTCCCGGCCAGTCATATCCAGTCCTATACTGGAAGCTTCCACTTGTACTGCGAAAGAATTGATATCTCCGCTGCAGGGATCCAAAACTTTAGGTCCGATAAGGGCAGCGCCTACAGTGCCGAGCGCGTCACCAGACTTCCCTACAAGGCCGTTAAGTATGCACTCGGCCAGCAGCGTGCTCCAAAAACCTTTACCGGAAGAGCCTAAAAGGGTCAAAGAAGGAATATCGCTAAACCGCATCGCCTCATTCTTGAAACAAGACAAGCCTAAAGAAAAAGAACGGAATCCCGTAGAGAGAAGTCACTCTCTGCCCAAAAACCAGAACCATCAGATTAAAGTGGCTCTAAGGAATTTACAAATCTCGAAGCCTATTCCGCAGACAGAGATCGAATTGCCAGTCGGTGCTGTTTCCGTTGTCTCCGACTCTGAAGACGAAGACTCTAAAGCATTCGTGAACAGAGCTCAAAGCATGAGAGCCCCGCAGGCTCAAAAGCCGACTATACAAAGTTTTGGTTCAATGAGGCAGGCGCCCGGGGTTCAACGACCTGTCTCGATAGTGGGCAGGCCGACCGCACCGCCGCCACCATTGCCACCGCAAACCGAACCCAACGCCAATCAAACTAACTTCCCCATTGAAAACAAATCTGTAGACTACGTTGATTGCATTGAAGAGAAGCAGGCTCCTCTAGCCGATATAAACGAAGAGTCTCCCGATAATATATACGCGATCATCGAAGAAAGTCCCGAGAGTCTTTCGAAGCCAATACCGCCTCCCACTTCGACCAGACCGCAGCCGAACTCCGGAAGTTCGGAGAGCATGGGCTTACTGGGAGAGATAGTTAACGAAATACAAAACCGGAATCTCGAATCGATATATTCGGTTTCGACACTGAAACGGAAGCAGAAGGATCGAAAAGAGAAGGAGGGCTCTAATCGAGACAGCACGTACACGAACTCAGAGCACTACAAGACGCCTGAGAGCGTGTACAGTAACTCCGGAGCGAAGTCGACAGTTTCGACAACAAGCAGCGGGTATCTACTGCCGTCAGCTGTGAACGTACCGAATTTTGTAACCAAAGATACAGGAGAGGTCACCGACAGTGAGAAAGCACCTCCCTCGCCCACTCTGAAGGGAGGGCCAAACTCGAAAATCCCTACATTCTCGCGCCAAGTGACACCACCCGGCTTAAAAACATTCAGAAACGCAACGCCTTCACCGAAAAGTACCCTGAAGAACGCTCATTTATCCACCAAAATATCGAACAGTCCAGATTTAGTTTCGAGCTGTAACGTACCAGAGACAAAGAACAAGACTCCAGATGTAATCAACAATAATAAAATACCAAACGAAGCGCCTAAAGTTGCGGCGAAGCCCGCGGTGACGGCCAAACCAGTTGACAACAGACCGCCTCTAAAACAAGGCCCGAACGCAGACAAAAAACTCTCGGCCAAAACAAATCAGCCATTGAAACCTGTTAATTCATCGTCAAATTTGAACAAAACCGTAGAAAAGAATCCGCCCTTGAATCGTGCCAATTCTAAACTAGAGAATAATGTTAAATCTATAGCAGATAGTTTGAACAAGAATAAGCCTAAAGTAGTACCTAAGCCCACGACCCTGGTGAACAAAACCGAATCCACTGTCAAACCAAATTCCACTAAATTGACAGCGAAGCCCTCAAATGTTGCCAGTTTGCAGCAAAAGTTCGAAAATAGAAAATCTATAGGCAAAGAGATCAATGTAAGAAAATAGTATTTGAATTTCTAAAGAGTTTAGGTCTTAATTCGCGTTATACATATTTCTAGTCGACCATAGTACATAAAGAAGGACATTTCGAAAAGTAACAAATATTAGTTATAAAGATCTGATATTGAAATTGAATGTAGAAATAATGTTTTTTTTTTTAAATATTTTGTCAATGTTTTTTTATAATTCTAAATATTCACATTTTGATGTGAATTGTTTGCGATAAGAAATTACTTATCATTTGTGAAATGACTGATTTCCCTTGTAAACGAACATTAAGATTACATATAACATACTTAATATGCAGAAAAATAAATTTAATATATTTGAAAGAAAAAATAAAATAATAGTTTTTGACGCAAAAAGGAATTACTTTGATCATTATTTTTGATAAGTAATTTTACAAAGACACTTGTGACACGTAAAATGAAATCTATAAAAACAAAACAATAATTTATTATATAAGTGATCTCTGTAAATATTATAGTGTATATTCCTTTAAAAGTTAGTGATACAATAATAATAATAATAATGATCAAGTGTCTTATACTATGAAATGTCGTAAATGAGAATGTTCGGTTTGTATTTTTATAAAAGATTAAATGTTTGTGTGAACTACACGTGTATGTTTGAACGTGTGTTGTGTTTGTGAGACTCGGTACTAAAGATTTATGACAGAATGAGATTCAATGTGAAATGATGCATTTTTAAGTTAACGGGGAACTGTATTAGGCGGATAGACAGTAGTGATCAATTCTAATTAATTACTTTAATTCTTAAATTCATAAAGCTTTAAATAGCCGAAGAAATCTGGTAAAAACCTGAATCACGCTAACGACATTTATAAGATAAGTTTGCCTATTGTCTATTAAAGCCAATTTGGACCGCGCGTCTGCTGAGACCCCGGTCGCTAGATCTTCGCTTTTTCGTTTCCCTATAGGCAAGCTTAGTCAATAACAGACTATTACCCATATAATTCTTTGCTATTCGTGATCTAAAAAAAACTTACTTAAGCCTAATATAGTTCCGCATTAACACACCTTTATAATATTATAATTAAAAATATATCAATTATGTGTTCGCCATATTTTATTGATTGGTGCTAAGGCAACGGAATATGCTTTCAAGCAATGAATTGTATATTTTTATAACGATTAAATATTTAGCTTTAGCAACAAATATGTTTATAATGATGGCAACACTGAATTTCTGTGTTGCCGTACGACACAACGATTCTTGTTTACTTGACTAGTTACGTTATAACGATTGAATGTGTTCTGTATGAAAAAACAATCTTCCGTCGGAATGAATACTGCCATTACAGCTTAGTACAAATATAACTGGTGCTGATTCATCGCAATCAAATGTTATTATCATTAAGGTAGGTACTGTTTAAATTACGTAAAAGCCAAGAGCTGTTAGTGAATTATTTCCATTAAATTTCATATTCTTATGTGATGTACTTGTTTGAGAATCGCTTTCATCTCAAAATTATTATAATTTTTTACTATAATTATGCGTTCTCACTCTTTTCATTCAATCTTCGTTCTATTGTCCGTAGCAAGATGCATTAATGTGTTTCTTGACTATATTTAGTGAAATTCTTTGGCTATTTTTTTTTTATTGCCTTTTTAGGCAGATTAGCATACGGCCCACCTGATGGTAAGTGGTCACCGTCGCTCATAGACGTCAGCAATGCCAGGGGCAGAGCCAAGCCGCTGCCTACCATAAAGTACTCTCCGCAAGCCTCGTTTGAAGGACATGTCATCATATTATAAAAAAGTTCAAAATCATTTAGCAGTCGGTTAATAAAATTAAATTTAAATATTAGTCAATGAATATAATAATATCGTAGAAGATAAACTATGAATTTAGATAATACTTAGGCAGCTTTGTTTAATGGTTTAGTGCAGCAGATCTTAGTGATACGCTAAAATATCAACTGGTGCTCATATTTTTACTGTTTGAGTTCACTAAACTAGTGGTTGTAAAAATGGATAATAGTTTTTTTATGATACCAAGAAATATTCGCTAATTGAGTGACAAACTTTATGCCTAAACTATTTTAGATTATCATGTGAAGTGGCCGTGATCTAACATGGCAAGAAATAGAACAGAAAAACAATGAAAATAAAATGCATCAGGCATTTGTTGATAAAAGAGCGCGGGTAGGTACCAGCATCATGTCGCGAAACGGTCATGCATTCCGCTTTGAAGGGTAGGACAGTACTCAGGTGTTAAAAAATAATTAGGTATTTTATCTAACGCCTCAAAATGAGCAGCGGAACTAATGTTGTTACCTGCATACGCTCCGGTTACCACTAAAGACCATTTGACTGCTCATATACAGCAATCAAAAAGTGTTCACTAAACTAAGAAATGCTGACTGGATGGATGGCAAGGGCATTTAATTTGGCGGCTGTCATTTTTGACATATTAAACGTTATACGGTCTTGTCAACACAAAAAAAAGAGCCATGTTATTATAATTTATATTAAATATTTGTTACAAATATTAGAATTTGTAACCAAGGGCTGACCACACAATTGTGATATTCAATAAAGATTGGTTTAAATAGATAAATTACATTAACTCGTTTACGGAACCAAAGAGATTAATAATTGAAAATTAATCAACGTCTTATGTTAATTTGGAAATCTACTAGCCTCTACTACATATTAGATATTAACTTATCAGCGTATGTGGACGAGAAAGTAAGTAGTGAATCGTGCTTACGTCCTTGGGCGACGGTGAGCCTAAAGTCGTATGAGCCGTATCCCCTAGTAACAAAACGTTAATCATTAATAAAGGCTTAGACTAAAAAGAAACGTATTTATTCAGTACATAAATTAACTTACCAAATGTAAAAAAAAATTCGAAAATTAAATTGTTGTGTATTACTATTTTGTTTGTAAATTTCGGCCAACTTTTCCTACTTAGATAATCTGTAAAAGCGAATTTAAAAAAAAACTCAGTGGGGTATTAGATGACAAAATAATAAATTTATTGCGTTATCATCGATCCTTGGTACGAGTCCAAACTTTCAAGTTATTCGAACTCTTAATGTTTATAAAAGTTACGCGATACAGATCAAGCGAGTGAAAGCGTCTAAATTAGTACTCGTCGAGATTCTAATGTTATCTGCCTTGTAGGAAGGAACAAGGGATATGAATTCAAATGTCGGATTGTAATGCATCTGTGTGCTTAGTGCGAGTTTTTTAGCGTTCTCGATAGCGTAAAAGTTAAGCCATTTTTGTATGCAATTGGAACAGCGCCCCTAGCGGCAAACGTACGCAAACGACCCCATTCCATACAAATATGAACGAACTTTTACGCTATCGAGACGTTAAAAAACTCGCACTAAGCACACTGCTCTCTCATTGACCCACGCCCGATGTAGTTTAGGCAAACGAACGAAAATCTGACATTCGAAGTAAACTATAAATATCTTCGATTAACTCAACCTGATTTTACTGGTGCATTAAGATCCGCATCAGCCAGCATCCGTCGCGAAACAGTTTCTCATTCCGTTTTAAAACATTGAACACAAGTTGGGTGATGCATTTATTTAGACTATCCAAACTACGATAACAAAATTCACTTGAGACGGGCGTATCTAAAATAAACATGAACAATTTTCACTAATTACTATTGTATAAGTTAAAGGATAGTTACCAAAATTATTATATTATGTAATTTAAACCCCCATTGTTAATTATGGTAATTTATGATAAGGTGAAATAGATTTCCAAAAGCATAACGTATGTTAGAAAAACTAAATATATTAAATTAATTAAAACATAAGGCAGCGTCATACGCGTTTTAACTACGCCCTTTTTAAAGCTGTGACTTCAATATTAATTTGGATTTTTCCAAATAGGATCAGTATAAAATGCATTATGTTATTATTAACATAAAATGTAGGTTATTAAGCACATAAAAAGGTTTTGTTTTTTTCTAGCAGCACATGTTGCCAGTTTAAAAAATGATACTTAAGCTTCTATTTTATATTATTGCAAGACTGTGAAAATATTTTTTTCTGTATTTTTTGCACATAAGTTAATTAAGTTAAACTGTAAAATTAATGAATAAAATTTATCATACATTGTTAAATTCGTTGATCACTTAACTGAATAAAGTGTGTCATTGAATTAATGGTTTTAATTTTATTTAGCTATTCAATTTACTTTTATATACCAATACTATGAAAACTCCCCAATTCCCAATCCTCCAGGATGTCTCAGATGGTAGTCATCGTTAGAAGTCATTCACAGATTTTCTTCGCCATAGACAAATAAGTGATGGGTTTCGAAGTTGTGGCCTAAGCCATAAGAGGCTTGGCTTTTCATAGCAAGTAATGCAACTACGCCAGTTTTCGGTGCCCGCAGACAAGTATATAGTTAGGTAGTGCAGTGGTAAGACAGAGAAGGCGCCAATTTTAACATTTGGTTAGAATGCTTCCTTGTAGAATATGATGCAAGCACTGAAGTCATATTATCCTACAAACCCAATTCGCTAATGTACCTAGAATACGGTCATTACTCACCTAAATAGTTTTAAGTGTCATCAAAAAATGTATTTCAGTTTTCCCATCTTTTTTTCTTTTATCGCTTGGGTGGTTGGCTCACAGCCGACTTGATGTTAAGTAGTTACCAGAGCCTATAGACATCTACAACGTAAAGCTGCCACCCACTTTGAGACATGAATTGTAAGGTCTCACTTTTAACAGTACAACTGCTGCCCCACCCTTCAAACCGAAACGCATAACTGCTTCACGGCAGAAATAGGCAGTGATGGTACCTACATGTGGACTCAAAAGACGTTCTACCACCACCAGGAAAAAATATCTCACATTAATTTCTCTTTCGCACTACACACACCACAGGAAGTATATCTACCTGCTGTTGCAGTTGTATTCCAACATACACACTTTGATTTAGATTTCATAGCTTTGAGACATATAGTTGTCTATTATACATAGTTGTCTATTATAAAAACAGACAGTATAACAAACAGACAGTAATAACAGTAATTTTATTGAAGATCTTGATATGAAGTATCTTGAAGATCGCCAGCTGATCAGTGACCGACAGTACGGTTTCCGTCACGGTCGCTCAGCTGGCGATCTTCTTGTATACCTTACTCACAGGTGGGCTGAAGCCTTGGAGAGCAAGGGCGAGGCTCTTGCTGTGAGCCTTGATATCGCGAAGGCCTTCGACAGGGTCTGGCATAGGGCACTTCTATCGAAGTTACNGGCAATAAAAAAAAAAAAAAAAAAAAAGTTTCATTTTTGAAAGTTCCATGAAGTTCTTCCCGTATTGTGAAGACCTTTGCATATATTCAGTTCTAATTTTATTACCACATTGAACACCAGACTAGAAATCATGTTTAGTCCAGTGGAATGGTGGACACACTGTAACAACCAATTACTTAGGTCTATGACGACACTGTCTGCCATTTGAAATATCTCGGAAAACAATACTTAGTCACTGTTTCCATACCTCACTCATTACTTTTGAGTTATTTTTTGAGAATATTTTTGAAAAAACACTACATTTTTTTATCCTAGGGGAAAGTATGCTGTGGACTCATGGTGTCTGTCATGAAACCAACATGTTAACAAAATATTGGACTGGACTGCACAGCTTAATCCCATGATGTACATCAGATCTAATTTGCACAAATTAATAAGGGGCTATGAAAAAAATCATATTAAAAACACACACTTTTACACTTTGGTTTATTATAGAAATTATAAACTTATTGACAGGTTTGTGGACTTCTTGACCATTGTAATTTTGCCATGTTTCTTTAAAAATGTTAAAGCATCTTTATTTTACAAAATTGTTAGTCACTTGCACCAAAAGTAAGGATCTTCTTTCAATTTTGGTATGTCCGGCCACTGAAGTTATTTTATGCTAATATTAACAACGATACTGGTGAGACTCTTTTAATGCATCATTATAATAACTGATCATTTTTAGCTTTATCTTACAATAGGTGAACTTGATACAATTTCAATATATTAAAATATCGAGTTTGTTTTTTTATTACATAGAGTTGCAGAATCAGAGAACCAACACAGTTTTAAAGGTAATCCAATTTTGTAAAACAGTATTATTACAGTTTAAGGAATGAACCAGTAAACTATTAATTTCCTGGATATTTTTATTCATTAATACTTAAACTAATTACTGCATTACTTCCCTGCAGCTGTAGCAAGAGGATTCCTTAGTACTAAGATCACAGAATCACCGCGGAGGAACATTTTGGAGATGAATTTGTCCTTGTTTACAGCTTTGCCCTGAAAATAAAACCAGAAGTTATACGTATTTTGAATTTGAAGAATTTCAATGCAGTCAGCTAACACAGAATGTTTCATATCCACATAATTGTCATCTTGAACATTTCCAGTGGTTTGTATTTTATCTCGCCTAATTTTGGCCTAAAATATGCGACATCATGTCATATTGTGTACTTTTTAAAGTGGGAGATTGTAGCACTTTTATACATGAGCTTGAGACTAGTTGAAACTGGTTCCAAGTTTCAAGACATAACCTCAAATTTCTGAATCAAAATAACTGAAATACAGTAACATCTGCTTACCTTCTTTCCTTTGCCAGTTCTCGGTACCTCAGTCCACATTTCCTTAACATTCTCCAATACCATGTTACAATGCCGGTCGAAAGCCTTCACTCTACCCAAAAGTTTCTTATTGTTACGGCAATTTATCAGAACTTGTGTGTTGTTCTTTACTGACTGCGTGAGCACGGAAAGAGGTCCGGTACTAAACTCTTCCTCTTCGATTTTAGATAGCTCTTCTAGGGTCATTTCAGAGCGTGGCTTAGTTGTTGACGTCCTATAATAAGGTTAACATTAGAGTTATTGTTGACCATTACCGGCTAAGCAGATAATATGTTAAATAGATTGTTAAAACTACGTAAATCATATTAATACTTACATTTTGTATTATTTTATGGGCTTGTGAACTGAGAAATTGAGTGAAAAAGATTACAATTACAGTAAAACTATCGTACACACGCTAAGTCGACGCTTTATTTTGTCTATGGTGACTCTGCTTTTTAATTCAACAATTTTTTGTAAGGAATTTTGTGACCTGGTAACTAAGACTTGTAAGTCATGTCTTATTTTAATTTATATTCTTAATTTTATGAAAAATGATAATATGGAGTGAAATGAAATGAAATGAAAATGATTAATTTGGGACATTAATCGACTGGGATGAAATAAAATTAAATGAGATGATATGGGATGAAATATAATATAATCTCAGTAAAATGGTGGTCATTTACTGCGATCTTTTCAGTGGACTTTTTGGAGGATCCCGAGAAGTTGCATCCAGCGGCTTTGTTTCATTTTTCCACATTTGTGCACTTTCACAGATAATACACAGTTAATAAACCACCGTTATTACACATTGAAACCTGAAGAAACACTAAATAAATAGACAAAATAAAACAAATCACACAACTTCACTCCTCGCGTTCCCGCCAAAAAGTATTATTTCAACAAACAATTATGGCCACTAAATGTCAGTTTTTAACTCGACACTGACATTGATGAAATCGTAAAAAGATGGTGGTAATACTGAAATTAAAGTTAACAATATCAACAATTAAAAAATGTTTTAAAACTTGAAATGAAATGAAAAAAGTTTGTCTAAGTTTACTGTAATCCGCTCACAATTTAAAATAGAGAACTCTATATTTAAACTAAGGAAATTTTAAAATACAAAGTCATGATCATATAATCAGCAATTTTGTATATGCCATGCTTATTTTATGTTAACGAACTTCATATTCAATTAAATTTCTTTATTTCATTACCGTATTAAAGAAAAGGAAAATAAATGAAAGCGATTTCAGTATATTTTATTGTTTAAGGAACTCATAAAATCGATTTTTGTCTGTTTGTTAGTGCGTTCGAGCCGGTAAGTCTCCACAGCAGCTGAACCATTAGGAGATGTTCTCTTATCCGAACGCGACGCGGCAACGCAAAGCCACCGTCGCTCGAAACATGTCTTGTGGGATCCCCCGGATTCACTCTCCGTGCTTTAGGCCTCTCAATCACCGGCTACCCTCCTTATCGAACTCGTCGATCACGAGCAAATTCACCCATAGACGGAGATCACTGAGTTTTTCGCTGGGTCTTCACAGTGGGTCGCGATTCCAACCCATGTGCTTAGTGCGAGTTTTTTAACGTTCTCGATAAAGTAAAGTAAACTCAAATTTGTAGGTACCTATGCGGTTGAAAACGTTTGCCTAAGTTAGGTCATATTTGTATGGAATGGGATCGTTTGCCTTCCTTTGCCGTTAGGGGCGCTGTTCCAGCTGCATACAAATTTGAGTTAACTTTTACGCTATCGATAACGTTGAAAAACTCGCACTAAGCACACCGATGGTAGATTCAGCGAAGCACTGCTCTCGCTAGGGCTAGTGTTAGCAAATTCTCTTATCTTAAGCTCGTGAGCTCGCCTGCTCGTCCGGGCGTATCTGAAATAGCTTCTTAGGCTACGAGCGAATAGGTAGGAATATGAGATGTTTTGTTACACTGATATACATTTCGGACTAACATTTTGTGCTTGGTTTATTAAAATTGGTTCATAATCACAGACATGCATTGCATGCGTAGCAGTATTCCTTAGGCCCGCAAACAGATTTAATTAAAATTAAAAATAATGTAATATTGCTTTACATAATTGTATAAAATATAGTGGGGACTTCAAGAAAGGCCTTAGATTATTTCCTCGAAGTTTTGGTATTGTTGGCCTAGATTATTTACTCTAGCCCTGTTGTAAGCCCTCTCAGAAATGTATACCAGGGTCTTGACTTTAATTCAATTCAATTATATGAAGGTGAACACTCATTTTGGAACGCTATGTTCCGGTCATTCAACTGAGCCGAGTAAATAAATAATACTAGTTTCTAAAGACCTAATACCTATTTTTCTATTGTTAATTTGCTTAAAGAATTAAATACCGTTAGCTCCACAGTCTTCGAAAAACAACAGTGTTTAGACGTCAACTAGAAACAATGATTGATTGACATAGTTTAACTCGTTTTCATAAGTTTAAGATCTGTCAAATATTCTTATAGTAAAATCTAGGTTTCATACTTCAAATCGGTAAAATCGAATGTGTTATAATAAACGTCATTATTTTGTTTGATGAACAAATGTTGGAGAAAATTTAACACAAAATAAATAAATAAAACTGGTCATGTTATTGATTTGTTTCTTGTATAGTAGACATACGAGCTCGTAGCTTATTTCATGGATTTCGATAATGCCACGGATACAGCCGTATCAAGGCTGCTTTTCGACCTTTTTTGCGTAAACCTAGCATGTGTGTGATAATAGTCCATTGCTGAGCCTAATGATATGTGAAAAACATTGTTATAAGAATCTGAATGTGGATCATAGATCAATAATATTCGAGACTGGGAGAATCAGGCGGCTCTGAGTTATTAAGATCAACTATTCCGAATATAGCATTTAGGGTCATGGTAAAAAAGAGGTGATGAACCAAAATCAAAGTGTACGTAAATTTATGTGACTATTTCAGTAGAGAAATGCGACGAGCTTCAGTAAAATTACCTATGGAAAGCGTTTGTTTAACGACGAAGGTAAGGGTGCTTGTATAGCAAAAAAATTCATTTTCCACAATGTTTAATTTTAGGTCAATCACACAGATGGCGCTACTCTGGTCTCATCTCCGTTCAATAGCCTTTTGATATCAAGGTTCGCGCCACTCTGTTTAAGCAGAAGCATTCTGTAGATTTGTTTTGTATTTATTCACGCATTTCTGTATTGTGTTCCGCGGTGAATGCACGTGAATCAATAAATCGAAGTTAATTCGTTTATTTAGGAGGGAATAAATAGTATTTTGTATATTTTAGACATTGTGAAATATGTGGACAAGTTTGTGTTGAAAAGAAAGTGATTTTAGGGATATTATTCGAGAGTTTATTAACTGAAGTTTGAAAATAATTTTTTGGCTCCAGTATGTAAGTATTTAAATTTTTTTATTTAACTAATAAGATTTTTTGGAGAATTTACTGGTTGCAATACTGTAATGATATTATGTTTTTTGTACGAATAAAATAAATACTTTTCGCGGACTGTTTTTTTTTTTTATTTAATGGTTCTACCTTTATAGGTACATATCATTCAATATTTTCTAATGAATAAATGTTTCATGAGTATAATGAATAATGTGAACAATTATTTTAATTTATGAACATTTTTAAATGTAAAAGAATTTTATTTTATTTTAAACTTATACTATACTAGCCGTACTCGCCCGCTTCCCTGGGCATTTAAATTAACATTATTATTTATTGTCATTATTATTAGGGAGTCCAACACTCATATAAACATTAGCCTATCCATTAAGTAAATGTATTTTCAACATGAATACCAAGTTTCAAGTCAATCGGATGCATGGTTCAGTAGTTAAAACGGAACATCCGTAAAAACCACTGTAGATTTATATATTAGTATAGATTTGTACGATCAAGTTTCAAACAGCTTCATTGAGTTACCTACTTATTACGACATTGCATTCGGGGCCAACAGTCATGGCAATTCAACCGGTTTTTCATACCTTGTAATACCAACTGCGTCTTGCATCCGGAAATGCAAGGAAGTCGCTTGAGTCTTTTCGCACGACTTATTACTGTAACATTTACGTTAAACTATTTTTCTTTTCTACCTAAGCTGATAGCCTGAGGTGAGCTCACGGAGCTCAAACCTGACGACGTTGCTAACACGAACCCTAGCAAGAGCCGTGCTTCGCAGAATCTACCACCGGATCGGAAACGCGACCCACTGAGAAAATCCGGCGAGAAACTCAGTGGGCTGTGTCTGAGAATTAATTTACACGTCGAGCCCTTCGTCGCAAGCGTTACACGACGGGTTCGACGAGAACGATGACCGGTGATTGAGGTACCTAAAAGCACCGTTAGTGGATCGGGAGGATCCGAAATGACGTGTTTTGGGCGACGTCGCCGCGTCGACTGCTTTCCATTCTGTCCGCAGGATCGGGAGTTAAACTATACATTAAGCGCCTATCGTTGGATATAGGAAACAATAGCTGCTAGTTGGAATTTAGTACCGCGTATTAGCCTAAGTCCATTTAGGATGCGTGTGGCTGTTTGAAGATGATGAACGATGATACAATAGTCGGAGACTTTGCTGTGCCGGATAATCCGGTAATCCGCGTAATCCGGGTAATCCGCGGACAGGCAACAAACAGTTGTACCAGCATCCGTCAAACAGTACAGAGTAATGTTTCGGTGATACAAATTATAAACGGATCCTCAGGGTGGCGGCGACAATTGAGACAATTTACATCCACACGAAATAATATATTCTCTTTAGTACACCTTATGGTGGGTAGAATACGAATGCAACAGGGATATGCTAAACGCCGGTATTTATACAATCGTCTTGACCTATTTTAATACAAATTGAGTAGGTAATATTAAACATTGTTCATCTTAATTATTCTGCTGATTATTTACGTACAATTATTATTTAATAATATCGAATTATATAACATAAATAACATTAAGGCTTATTGCGCCGGAAGCTGTCAAGCGGAAGGCGCCCATAAAATATTATAAGTATAAAGAAATATGAATGAACTATTTACTTGATTATGAAATTACTAATTATATTATAAGAATAATAAGTTCTATATATTTCCTAATTTCGTAAATAATTTATAATGTGAGGATGGAAGTGTTGCTCGATAACAAAATCGTGAAGGACAATAATTTTAAATCTAGCACGCTTTGACGAATTACATTTAAGAAAATTAATAAAGTCGAACATTCCGGATCAGCAGTGGTGTGTTTCGGCTCGAAAAATGTGACAACTATGGTACAATCGAAATTTCGACTACGAGTTTTAAAGGGACATTCACATTGTGATATCTAAATGCCGGTATTAAGATTTTACAGGTGGACAATAATCTCGATCATATTTCAATGCAATAAAAAAAAGACTTATTGGAAGGCAACTACTACGGAAATACTTCGTGTATCATCAGCCCTATATGTC